ATGCGTTTCTAAAGTGCATAAACTTTTGGGATTGACTATATAGCCAATACATCCTTAATCAAGTATAATATATTACCAACAATAATAACTTTCGTTTTTAATCTCGAGTAGGAATAAGATATGCAACGCGTATAATTTATGCGCCCGTTTATGGTGATGATCGTGGTGGAAGCTTTATAAGCCTGGACTGACCAATATGATGTCATAAAGCAAATGTACATAGAAACCAAGGTGTTCATGTCAGCTTAACAAAACATAAATACTGAGGATACTTAAATTCCATGAGACATAACATGTGTACCGCCCGCAAACTATCTTTACAGTACGAACTTCTTGATTTAGCGCAACGACCTAAATTATCGTAAATACGTGCACACGTATACAAATTTATTATTACGTAAAATATGCCATTTCCATAATTCGTATTTATTAAATCCTACGTTTGAATTTTATACTTTCATATTTTTAAAAATTATACGTATCTTTCGTATAGCTTCAGATATTGTGCATAGAAATAAATGCAGTAGAATAAAAACAAAGTGCAAGGATGATGGTTGTATAGTGCAATAGCTGGCAACTGTCCAGATATTGAGATTGTAGGCTGGCATCAGCACAATTAATTGTATTCGACAGACATTTTTGCATACGACTAAGATTGTTAAACGAAGAGAATCTTAAAGCAAACAATAACGTAAAAGCATTACTAAATTCAATTTCCGCATCTGCGTAGATCATTATACGCTGGACAGAAAGTTTTCCTACAGAAAATTCGAATAAACATTAGAGGAAAAATGTAATATTTTAAATACAGTGGTTAAATATGTACAAGGCTATCAAATTTTATATGCAAACCACTTCATTGTTCCTCTTTTAAATACTATCAACAGCAAAACAAAATATCCTCGCTCGCTATTAATAGATTCATTCGCACAATCAATGGTTCGATAATAATACGATAAGTTATTCCCCCAACAAAATTCGTGGACGTTCCGTCTCCTCACGGATCGACCCTGACGGGAAGGATGCGTGTAGCGTGAAGCATCATCTTTGGTGATCGCCTCCCAGGAGCTGAAGCGGGAAAAAAGTATTTTATAAGGCACGCCTGCATATATCGACAATGCGTGATTTGTTTGCGAATCGCTCGTTAATAGGCTCCATAAGCACCTCGTGTTCCATTACACCTATATAAACTACAACAAGCCATCAGCGAGGGTTTAGTTAACCGATTACTTTAACCGAGGTCTGTACATTTCGTTCTTTTATTTCGCGTCTCACGACGCCTGTGATAATCCCTATGGTGTTCTTAAAGGTGAGCCAAGATTCGTTTTACGGAGCATTACGCATATTCGAGAGTCGAAAGATGTGTCGTAACAATTCCTATTGGAGTATCAGCGAATAAATTCGAAATTATTTTCTGTCTGAAACTGAATTTCTCCGGAATAATACAAAATGGAGATATGATTGCGTAATATTTAAAAATTTCATTCACATGAAATAATAATAATTTCTGAGAATCGATGAGTGTACTTTTGATGTTTATTCGAGTTTATGAGGATCTCTGCAATGTTATTGAATAAGAAGCTGTTGTTCCACACATGGATAACGTTGTATTAAATTGGCATAGTGTGTACCTACCCAAGTAAATAATAGTAAAACTTGTATACGTGATGGGGTTGAAAAAGTTCAAGTGACAAAATGTGCGACGTATCCTAAGTACATCATGCGGACTTTGAGCAAATCTTGAGTGATCCAAACGAATCTGGTGGGAGCGGATGCTTAAATAGCCCGAATCTCTATGGGCACGCCAGAGTGTCGTGGTTTGCCGTAGCTTTAAACATCTTGACAAAAGTATTTTCACGCACTTCGCGTCATAAGGCATTGTACAGTTTTCTGAGAAACAATGACGATTACGGTCCAACAAATAGTAAGTGATGGAAACTATTTCATGTACGGGAGAACAGTGATTAAGGATGATGTTCGATTTGATGTGTTTCAAGTGTTTTATTAAGATTCAATTGGCAGAGCGAGAAAATTCATAGACATTATCGTTCGTCGTATTAATTGTTCATAGTTGTACGCTAACGCTACTATTGTTATTAATATCATTCAATAGTTTGGGTCAATGAATTTTTTCTTTGCCGTGTAACATTATTATTCGAGTGCCATGTGCGCGCAAACGATCTGCCAATTAAGTGAAAGGTACAACTTGAATAGTTAATGAATAATGCCGTAGAACATCGTAATTTATGTGTACATTTTTAATTTTTAAATCGACGTCTATAAGTTTCGTTAATTTACACTCGATCTCTCTGCTTAATAATTAATTTATTTAAACACCGAGAAACGTTAATTACGGGACGATTCTATTTATAGATGTACTGTTATTCTATACTTAAAAATTAAAATTAAAAAATGCTGTGGACAGTAAGAATGTACATTATATTTGAATGTATATTATTGTAATTGACGAATAACTATCTTTTTGTCTTCGTAGTGGGAGCAAGCACCAGGCGGGGCGTGGGTGTATTTTGTAATTTTGGCCATCCTTTACGTTGTATACATACTGAAGAGCTACATCAGAAGCGTAATACTAATCTCTCGTTTAAATGGTCCAAAGACGGTACCGATTATTGGGAACGTGAACTGTGCTCTACAAGAGAATTGTAAGTAATAAATACTTAACAGAGAATTGCATTTTTCGATTGATAAATTAATTATTTGATGCTCGAAGTATCATGTGATTTTCAGTCCTTTATAGATTAGCAAACGAGAATCAATTGTATGGACGCGTTATCAGGATATGGTTGACAGTGGTACCGTACGCAATGTTCTTAGAGCCGGAAGATATTCAAGCAGTGCTCAGCAGCACGAAACACACCCGGAAAGTGTTCCTGTACAAGTTACTGGACAATTTCCTCGGTAAAGGTTTGATCACGAGAGACGCGAAAACCTGGCGAGTTCATCGAAAGTTTTTGCAGCCCGCGTTTCATCTTCACATTCTCGAGAAATTCACGAGCACCTTTGCGGAGTGCGCGGATCATTTGATGAACGAGTTTCTCGAGAAGAACGACCAACAGATTAATATAACTACATTCATCAACGACGCTGTCTACGATATCCTAAGGGGTAAGTAAATATGTTTGAGGCTGTCGTGGATAAAAAAATTATTCATAAATTTTGTACACGCACTTCCCCCGTTCTTCTTGCTAATCTTTGTGCACACCGAATATTTTTACTTCAGGTGCTGCAATTTTTAAAGTGCAATAACTACAGTAAAAAAGAGATAACATGGGAAATACTTTTCGTCTTACGATAGTATTATATGTGCAGCATTTCGTATTAACATATTAAATCATTTACGATCATTGAACTTTTTTATTCTATTATTTGCAAATTAATTATTCATACATTTGGAAGAAGTGCTACTTCTTGTTACCTCTTACCTCCTTATGCTTCATTTGATTTGCAAATGAAATGCAAACGCATCTCACATATGAATAACAGAATCAACATCTTCCTCATTCAAGTATTCGTACGAAATTTGCAATTCTTTATTTCATCGCAACTAGCATTATACGAATAATTCACGGAAGGATTTCATCATTTTCATTTATTATTGTACTCCGCACAATCTAATGTCCAATACGTTCGGCTAGAGCTTTAGGTCATTTCAATGTTGAGTGAATGTAACTGTGTTAAAAGCCTGCGTATTACTCTCGTCAAAGGAGCAAAACTTGAAGCTGATACATCCGAAAGTTTCCGAAATCAATTACCACACGATATAACATTCAGTTTACCCGACATCTTGGTTCCACACTATCCAACAATTTTCGTTTACAAAAATATAAGTCAGAATTGCAAACATATTTTGGACATTATTACGTTCTGATGCCCGAGATCCTGGATAATATTTGCAGCGATTATTAACTGTTTACAGAAACTGTTTTGGGAATCAACCGAATGAATGGATCATCTGGCGAAGACACGGAAGACGATCTGCCTTTCCGAAAGTGAGAATTACAAAATAGTTTTTATTTTCACGACATTCGTCTCGCGCTAATAACACGAGTAAACCTTTTCCTTTCAGGGGACAAATTATGCTTCTTTATCGGATGGTAAGGCCTTGGCTCTTAATCGAATGGATTTATCGGTTGACGAAACACGGTAGACAGGAAGAGCAACAACGGAAGGATCTCTTCGATACGTGTTTCCGAATGATGAAAGAGAAACGTGACCAGCTAAGAAACAAAGATCCTGCCCTTGACGAAAAAGCGGCGAGAAAGAAGAAGATATCTTTGCTCGAATACATGGTGGAAGTAAACGAAAAAAATCCTTGTTTCACGGACGAGGACATCGTTGAGGAGTGTTGCACGTTCATGCTAGCCGGACAAGATTCGGTTGGCACCGCGACTGCCATGACGCTTTTCCTCTTAGCTAATCATCCTGAATGGCAGAGCAAATGTATAGAAGAAGTCGACCGAATTTTCGATGGAGATTTAAGGTTGCCTACGATAAACGACTTGAAAGAGATGAGGTGCTTAGAGATGTGCATCAAGGAATCCCTCAGATTGTATCCTAGTGTACCGATGATAGCGAGGATATTAGGCGAAGACGTAAAAATTGGTATGTCAGTAATATAGTTCTTTACATTGTTATCGCATGTATAACGTTAACGTGTTTCAGGAAAAAATGTGATACCAGCAGGCTGCAGTGTGCTTATATCTCCGTATAGCACGCATCGTCTGCCTCATCATTTTCCAGATCCTGAAGCATTTAAACCTGACCGGTTCAGTCCAGAAAATTCTGAGAAAAGACATCCTTACGCCTACATACCTTTTAGCGCTGGGCCAAGAAATTGCATTGGTAAAAATTCTCTTATCAGATATTACGTATATAACTTAATGTCATGAACTATAAACTTATCTAGACTAGAATTGAAAGACTTGGTCTCAAATTAAAGCTTTAAACGTTAGTGCTTCAATAGAAAAAGATGTTGATACCCTTGTCGTTAAGGATTTATTGTTTTCTTTGCTAATTATTGTACTGTGTGTTCAGGCTACAAATTCGCTATGCTCGAAATGAAATCAATGATCAGTGCAATCCTTAGAAGATGTCGTTTGCAAGCTGTCCCTGGAAAGGAGGAAGTGCGACCAAAATTCAGGATGACGATTAGAGCTCAAGGAGGGCTTTGGGTGAAAGTTATTGCCCGCGATCAAACATCAAAACCTGTTGTAGCTTAAATGTAAATTATTGTTTTAATAAATCTCATTGTTAAACAAAAAAGACTGTGTCAGATCAAATTCATCCTTTGACCAATTAATGAGGAATCAAACTCAGAAAATAATAGAAATTAAACAGTAGAGAATCATTGACCTCTTCTTTCCATGCACCTATAGAAAACTCAAAAATGAAAGAATGCACGCGATCCATACAATTTATCTATACAAATATATGAGACAGTTTATATATAAATTTATCACACATATAGGCATAATGAAACAATGAAATTCCAATTAAAATTAAAGATAAAAGTTTGCTACCTTGCACTTTACATCAGTCTGAATTTTCTTAGAACCTGTTGGTATATTCAATTAAAAATTATATTACATTGTGAATGTATGCAATTCATCATTGTACTTCCAATATCGTTCACTTTCGACAAGTATAGATGTCACTACTGTTCCTACGCGTACGCGTTCGAACTCGAGCCCTTAACGGTCAACGGTTGTCCTGTATTAGTATCTTCACATCCAACACAGATCGTTGTCGGTTTTGTCTTACGGAATAAACGTTTTCCTTAAATTTAGCATCCTTCATGTCTCGTCCTGATCAACAAAACCTGTTACTTTGGTTGACACTTGTTTTTTCTTTATTACATTCGTAAAAAAGAGGTAAAAGAGGTTAGGGAATTCGCTCGAACGCTTCGTATTTCGTACTTACATATATCTTTGTATATTATTAGATTTACTTAACACAGAAGAATCAAGGATATTGAAAAATTTTAAACACGATTCTACGCATTGATCATTTTTATTGTATTTTCTGTAATTCTGTTAGCCCACAAGTTTTCTAGTAAATATATTATTTACAAAAACTAGTGGTTCTTTTAAACTACAAACATTTTTATGCACGTTACCTTGCTAATTATTTGAGAAAACTTTAGGTAGGGTCAAAGTAATTATCAGAAATGTAATCAGAACAATGAAAACACGGAACAAGAGTGCCAATAGGACTGTGCGAACACTGTTTATACCACATTGATCGCACCTGCATGTTGTATATTATATACGATGTCCTTTTTACATTATGTAAAACAGCATAATTGCTCTAAAAACAGGAAATTTTGCGAAATAATAAAACTCAGTTGTTCTCAAATAACAATTATATTTATTTCAGGAAAGGAAAGAACTTCCGTTCTCAAGCGATAATATAAATATACACAATTTTGGAAGTTCTAGAATGAATCGCCCCTACACACAAGGATAATTAAGTATTATCAAGAAAACCATAATTCATTGGGTAAGAAATTCTGCAAAAGACAACACTCGAGTAAGTACAAAATGATCGTTGAATTGTATTAAAAACACGATGTTCAGTAAATATCGAACTAAATAGAATTTGACATGAGCACATAGATTCACACGAATTAACGGATTTACTTCTAATAAATAATGACTTACACGACCGTTACACAGAATATGAGTTACATTTTATAATTTCTTTTTCATAATATTCTGCATACATAAATTGTATCGCAGTTTGGACGAAAAATGTAAATGACAAAAGAGAATTAAATAAATTGTTATAGAAATATTAGAAAAATATAAAAAACTGCTGTAGCTGCAGCATCAGGCTTTCATTTAACGTGCATGCATGCTGTATCATGTATGTTTGCATGTACGTGTGTCATATTTTGATAAAAAAGTTTCGTACAATTTTGCCGCATGAACGTTATTCCAAGTTGCTCCGAGAATCGCGATGTTTCTAGACATGTGCAGCTACGTCGTCATTTCCGTCTACTACGCGAGTAGATATAATCGCAACTGTTTCACTGACGTTTTATGTGTGAATGATACTCGGCTCTGTACAGAACACACCTTTTAAATCGATGATACGAATTTTAAAAGCATCCTCTTCTAAATACTACGCGGTTAATTATCAAGAAATATCAACTTTAACTCCGAGTTTGATAGAATGTTCTAGAAATCGGGCGGGCTTCCGGGAGGTGCCTTCTAGAATTTTCAAAGCTCTAGAACACTCGATAAAAACGGCCGCTACTGCGCGCAGCTACTATTCAGTCTGAGAAGTGACGGTGCGAGATAGTGATCGCAGCGAGCGTACGACAAGCTATATTTCCTCTACGTTTAATACGTGCGGACGACACATTCTTACGAGTTCTTTCGTGCAAAACAAGATTATTCCGTTGAACTTTTGTGCATCGATACTCTGTTTTACGTGATCGAATAGAAGGAAGAAAATGCCAGAAGACGTCAACATGGTTGATGCCGGCGAAGTTGAAACCTTCGCCTTCCAGGCTGAGATCGCGCAATTGATGAGCTTGATCATCAACACCTTCTATTCCAACAAAGAGATCTTCATCCGTGAATTGATTTCGAACGCGTCTGATGTAAGTTAAACTTTATTTAAACGTCTCGTTACGTCATTGATCATTGACGTGACCTAATGGAATTAGTTCGTAATTCTTTTTAAATGAAACTATTATTTCGTATGATACAGGCGTTGGACAAGATCCGCTATGAATCTCTCACAGATCCATCCAAATTGGACACGTGCAAGGAATTATTCATAAAAATTGTTCCCAACAAGAATGATCGTACCCTTACCATACTCGACTCGTAAGTATCGAATTTATATTAAAAATTTTAGATTTTAGAAAGCTTTTTTGCCCATTTAATAGAAACCTGGTTTTTAATTTGAATAAAGATTAAGTTTGCGATTTTATTTTTCTGCAGTGGCATTGGCATGACAAAGGCTGATCTGGTGAACAACTTGGGTACCATTGCTAAATCTGGTACAAAAGCTTTCATGGAAGCTCTTCAGGCTGGTGCAGATATTTCCATGATCGGTCAGTTTGGTGTGGGCTTTTATTCTGCTTACCTCGTGGCAGACAAAGTTGTTGTCATTTCCAAGCACAATGACGACGAGCAATACATATGGGAGTCTTCTGCTGGTGGTTCCTTTACTGTTCGTCCTGACAATGGAGAGCCAATTGGAAGAGGTACGAAGATCATCTTGTACGTCAAGGAAGATCAAACCGAATACCTGGAGGAGTCCAAGATAAAAGAAATTGTCAAGAAACATTCTCAGTTCATTGGCTACCCGATCAAACTGGTCGTTGAGAAGGAAAGAGACAAGGAATTGAGTGAAGACGAAGAGGAGGAACCGGCGAAAGAAGGAGAGGCCGAGGAAGAGAAGCCTAAGATCGAAGATGTCGGAGAGGACGAGGAGGAGGATAAGCCTAAAGATGAGAAGAAGAAAAAGAAGAAGACCATTAAAGAGAAATATACCGAGGATGAAGAATTGAACAAAACGAAACCGATCTGGACTAGGAATCCTGATGACATTTCTCAAGAAGAATACGGCGAATTTTACAAGAGCTTGACGAACGACTGGGAAGATCATTTGGCCGTTAAACATTTCTCGGTGGAGGGTCAACTGGAATTCCGGGCATTGCTTTTCATTCCCCGACGCGCACCTTTCGATCTCTTTGAAAACAAGAAGAAGAAGAACAACATCAAATTGTACGTGCGCAGAGTCTTTATTATGGACAACTGCGAAGACCTTATTCCCGAGTACCTTAACTTTATCAAAGGTGTTGTGGACAGCGAGGATCTCCCACTGAACATTTCCCGTGAGATGTTGCAACAGAATAAGATTTTGAAAGTCATCAGAAAGAACCTTGTCAAGAAGTGCTTGGAACTCTTCGAAGAACTGTCGGAAGACAAAGAGAGTTACAAGAAGTGTTACGAGCAATTCAGCAAGAATATCAAATTGGGTATCCATGAGGACAGCCAGAACAGGAAGAAACTATCCGAGTTGCTCAGATATCACACGTCCGCGTCCGGAGATGAGATGTGTTCACTGAAGGACTACGTCGGAAGAATGAAGGAGAACCAGAAACATATCTATTACATTACCGGTGAGAGCAAGGAACAAGTGGCTAACAGTTCGTTCGTAGAAAGAGTGAAGAAACGTGGTTTCGAAGTAGTATACATGATCGAGCCCATCGACGAGTATGTTGTACAACAGCTGAAGGAGTTCGATGGAAAGCAGCTGGTCTCTGTAACCAAGGAAGGATTGGAGCTTCCCGAGGATGAAGAAGAGAAGAAGAAGCGCGAGGAGGACAAAGCTAAATTCGAGAATCTTTGCAAAGTTATGAAGGACATTTTGGACAAGAAAGTAGAGAAGGTCGTGGTGTCCAATAGGCTAGTACATTCTCCGTGCTGTATAGTCACGTCGCAGTACGGATGGACCGCGAACATGGAGAGGATTATGAAGGCCCAGGCTCTCAGAGACACGTCCACTATGGGATACATGACTGCCAAGAAACACTTAGAAATTAATCCGGACCATCCGATCATGGAGAACTTGAGGCAAAAGGCTGAAGCAGACAAACATGACAAATCAGTGAAGGACCTTGTCATGCTTCTCTTCGAGACCGCGTTATTGTCTTCTGGCTTCGCCCTGGAAGATCCGCAAGTACACGCGTCCAGAATATACAGAATGATCAAACTTGGTCTTGGCTTCGACGACGACGACACTCCGAACGTAGAAGACGAGAAGATGGACGCGGATGTTCCTGAATTAGAAGGTGACGCAGAAGAACAATCCAGGATGGAGGAAGTAGATTAAGGCTTCTACAGTTTAAAACTATTTAACTAAACCCAAAGACTTTTAGGATGTAGAAAGACTGTTACAGAATTAATTCTACTTTAGTACAATGAAACAATTTTTTGTTTTCATTTCGTCTTTCTATGCGCGACAGAGTGGGGTGTCATGCGTTTATTTAAGTACTGCATATTATCTATATTTATGTGATAAATATCGAAGAAAGGTAACATCGTTCTCTGTGCATTTTACAAATATTCATCTTTGAATAACAGAGCCTGCCACTTGATTCTGTCTCTAAATTCTTTTTTATGATATATGATATTTCATTGTCATGCGATTGTCATTAATATCATTTCGTTTTTTTTTTGTACTTTACAACAATTACGATTTCATTTTACACTTCCATCATTCCATTTTGAAATCGTGGTGTAGTCAAGTTATGAACAGTTTGTGTGTAATAAAAAGAATCTTGCGTATTTAAATTTAAATAAGTGTACTTGTTTAGATTCCCTCACCTTAGTTTACCTAGCGAAAGTGTATAAGTAAAACAATTTAGTACTAACGTTTCTTATAATTTGTAATTCGCACGATCCGACTTATTCATACATTTGGAGAAGTGCTTTTTGTCAGCTTCTTTATTTTTATTATTTGAAAGTAATTATGGATCATTCAAGTATTCAATTTATATATATACGTAAAATTTTTAATTAGTATACAGATAATAAAAATGCAAAGTACATAGGCTTATAATAAGATTTCATAGGAGGAAGGGTTGAATGTTTTAATATACTTAAAATAGTTTTCAATACCCATGATACACGATCATATTGATACTTGAATTACTTTTGTAACAGAGTTGATATACTTTTTTCTGCTAATCAATCAAATTATACATTGGATACGAGTTGACCGACAGGGCGCGACACTGAGGTTTATCGAAATGTTGCGTGTTGCCACATCACCACCAAATCAAACATACTTGGACGATGTTTCTGTGTAGATTGCGCTCGTGCCGACTCCTCCACAATACGTGGAAAGCGTGAGTTTCTCCACTCCGATTCAACATGTCAAATTTATCTTAAATTTCTGACGAGTATTCACGTGAAAAGAGTAAAACTCAGCGTACGGATAATCTTTTGTTTCGTCGAAGAGCGTTTCCGGCACAGTATACGTCTGAGAAATTATAGATTTTTTCGCGGTCCTTAACGTAGTAAACGAACGGCATGATGAGCGCATCCCAGGGGCAAGTGAAACCGAGGAATGGAGTAGTAAAACAGGTAAAACGTTGATATTATTTCAGAACTCTTTCATCGACGAATATTATACTCCAGTAGCAGTATGTTTTATGTTATTACTCCGACGTCTAACCTCAGATTTTGACGTGCATGTGGCCGCGTTCGACACACTTGTGGCGAATAATAGATATCGAAAACATATGGTCGTTTCGTCGGAGTCACTTCATTTTCTCCACTAGTCTTTCCCTCTCAGCGATATATTATTAATTGCCATTTAACAATACAAACTGAAGCGTTTTAAGCGAAAACTGTTACACCTAATAAAATTGTATCTCTATATTTAGTATAGTATATCTTTAGATTTATATCGTTGCACCTCGACGGTCTTTAGCAATGTTTCATTTCATTCTTTTAATCTTCTATGAAAAATGTAATATTATCGATGTATTTTTAAAATAACACCAAATCGAAAATCTTATTCTTATTTGGTAGTGGAAGAACATATAAAAATTAGTCGCATACGTATTAACAACGCATATCGAGGCTTAATGTAAAGTGTGAAACATTTTTTTATTAACTTGCCTATTTCTTTTTTAAATTTACTTTGCATCGACAATAAATATATCGTAAGAATCTTTGCATTGTAATGTGATAAAAAGAATTTGGAATAAATGCACTTTATTAAGAATTGTTTAATATTTGATGTGTAAAGGTCCTGTCAGGAGATACTATTGTTATTCGTGGGCAGCCTATCGGTGGTCCACCTCCAGAAATCATTGTTACTCTTTGTAATATCACCGCACCTAAGTTAGAACGATGGAAAGGAAATGATAGGTATATTAAATCACTTAGTAATTCGGTTTTCTGCAATTCGTCACATCGTCTTATGTGTGCATTACAATAGAAATCTTTTATTTTTAGTACGGACGAAAGTAAAGACGAACCGTATGCTTGGGAAGCTAGAGAATTTTTACGCAAGAAACTTATTGGTCAAGACGTAAGTTTCGTTACGGAAAAATCAATGAATAAATTGGTTAATACAGTTAACGCAAGTAGAAATTATGGAACTGTGTGGCTGGGGAAAGGTACATATTTTTTGTTATTAAAAGTTTTATCGTAGAGCAGACGAAAAGGTCGGTGGCTAAATTTAGACCACGTGTTAATGGGGTGCAATCACAGGCAGTCACAAATAATTCTCGTTAACAGTTATTGTTTATACAAACAGAATTACATCCTCAAAGTCTCTTAGCTGTTGAACCTTTTTCACCTTATTAACACGTTATATAAGTTTGGTTCTGGCCTTTCCAGAGATCCTGCATATCTGATTTTATGAACTGATAAGCTTCTTGATTATCGTAGATAGGAACGGAGAAAATATAATTGAAACACTGGTGTCCGAGGGTCTGGTAACCGTAAAGAGAGACACTAGAAACCCTGCTCCTGAGCAAACTCGATTAATCGAACTGGAAAATGCAGCGAAAGCAGCTAAGAAAGGGAAATGGTCGGAGTCACCGACTTCTGAACACATACGCGACGTGAAGTGGACCGTAGATGAACCTCGTAAATTGGTTGAGAAATTCGGGAAGAAGCCAATAAAAGCTATCATTGAGTTCGTGTTCGATGGATCAACCGTGAAAGCGCTTCTGTTACCCGACTTTTATAACATAGTATTAATGATATCGGGTGTTCGGTGTCCTGGATGGCCGAACGGGAGACGTGAAAATTCAAATGGCGATCCTTACGCGGACGAAGCTAGATACTTCGTGGAATCCCGTCTTCTACATAGAGACGTCGAAGTGGTGCTTGAATCTGTGAATAACAATAATTTCATCGGCAGCATTCTACATCCAAAGGGTTGGTAGTATAAAATAAATTATGGAAATGATAATTGCAGAAGTAATCATGCGTTCTTGATGTAACAGGAAATATCGCTGAAATTTTATTGAGCGAGGGTTTCGCTAAGTGCCAGGATTGGTCGATTAATAATAGCCGAGCTGGCGCGGAGAAACTGTACCTTGCAGAAAAAGCTGCGAAAGAAGCACGCCTACGTTTATGGAAGGATTATAAACCATCAGGTCCACAAATAGAATTCACTGGTACCGTTGTTGAGATAGTGAACGCGGACGCCCTTATAATTAGGACGCCAAATGGAGAAAACAAAAAAGTGTTTCTCAGCAGTATTCGACCACCGACGAGAGAAAAGAAAGTGAGCGAAGAACCGAACAACACGACACGAAAAGATAAACCTCTTTATGACATCCCGTGGATGTTAGAGGCTCGAGAATTTTTACGCGAGAAGTTTATCAGGAAAAACGTGAAGGTTGTGGTTGATTACACTCAACCTGCTAGAGACAATTTCCCGGAGAAATTATGTTGCACCGTCACTTGTGGCAAAACGTACGTCAATACGTATTTCTATTACTCTTAATTTATGTTTCCTTCTTTTCGATTGATTAACGTGATCGTAAATACATTTTAGGAACATCGCAGAAGCGTTGGTTGCGCGAGGCTTGGCAAGAGTAATAAAATACAGGCAGAACGACGATCAACGTTCGTCTCACTACAATCTGTTACAAGTAGCTGAAAGCAAAGCAGAAAAATCGCAGCACGGTTTACATGCAAAGAAAGATATTCCTGTACATAGATTAGTAGACCTCTCTAACGATCCGTCGAAAGCAAAAGCATTCTTGACGTCCCTGAAACGAGCACAGGGCATTAAAGCTGTCGTCGAATTTGTCACGAGCGGCTCACGTCTGAAATTGTTCTTACCGAAAGAAGATTATCTTATTACTTTCGTGCTGGCTGGTATAAGAACTCCGCGATGTCAAAGATCGGTGCCAGGTGGTGGTGTCCTCAAAGCGGACGAGTACGGTGAAAAAGCATTGGCTTTCACCAGGGAACATTGTTTCCAAAGGGACGTGGAGATAAAAATTGAAAGTACAGAAACTAAGGGAAGTGGATTTATCGGATGGTTAACAGTCAACGATGTGAACATGTCCGTTTCTCTCGTCGAGGAAGGTCTTGCAGAAGTAGTTACCTTCCCCGATTTTGGAGAATTGACGAGAACCCTGAAAGCATCAGAAGAACGTGCCAAATCGAAGAAGTTGAACGTAAGTTGGTTCCTGAATGTTTTATAGGAAAGCAGAAAGTCTTATTTTGTAATTTGTAAACATTAATTGTTGCTCTTCACGTGTTAAAGATGTGGAAGAACTATGTGGAAGTGCAAGTCGAGAATGAGAAGAACGAAAATGATAAAGAAATCGTAGAGAGGAAGATCGATTATCAAGAAGTGGTGCTCTCTGAAGTCACCGAAGATCTTCACTTCTACGCGCAGAAAGTCGATCAACGCAGCATGTTGGAAAACTTGCTGTTACAATTGCGCCAGGAGTTAGGATCTAATCCACCGCTTCCGGGTTCTTACAAGCCCAGCAGAGGTGAATTAGCTGTTGCCAAATTTACAGGCGACGATCAATGGTATCGCGTTAAAGTAGAAAAAGTTTCTGGTACCAACGTCAGCGTGTTTTATATTGACTACGGTAATAGAGAAACGGTTAACGTCACGAGAGTAGCCGACTTACCGTCGAGATTCGCCAGCGACAAGCCTTATGCTCACGAACATGTTCTCGCCTGCGTCGCGCTTCCAAACGATGTAAGTTTTGTTATACAAGACATTTGCTTCATTGCCTTTTTATATCTGTACGTCTTGACTTTTCATTCTCAAATATTTTTAGAACGATGATAAAAAAGCGGCAATTGAAATCTTCAAGGAAGATGTAATGGATAAAATCTTATTGATGAATATAGAGTTCAAGTTAAGCAGTAGCGTTACTGCTGTAACATTAGTCGATCCTACTTCTAACGAGGATATCGCAAAAAGACTTATTTCTGATGGGTTGCTGTTGGTTCAAAATCAACGAGATAGAAGACTTACTAAACTGGTAAGTCGACGTTTCGCACTAATTTTCGGCCGTATAACGTGTTACGTTAATATTTTCCTATTTTAATTACAGCTCGAAGAATATAGAAAGGCTGAAGAAGATGCGAAGCATAATCGACGTAACATTTGGAGATACGGTGATATACGAGCGGACGATGAGAAAGAATTTGGGTTATAAAGAATCAGAAAATGCTCAAGAAATGATTGAAAAGCGATTAATACAGGGAAAAAGACATGTTATTAACTGCATAATAATTGTGTAAGGATACATCAGATTGACGAAAAATAATAAATGTCCATATGAAACACAGGCAGGGGGAAAAAGAGAGAGAAAGAGAGAATTATCTGTTGCATTAAATTATAATGCAGTTATATTTCATTATATAAAACACATGAATTGTACATAACAATTTTATTAATTCTTGTAATTTTTGAATGGAACAGTGGCATAATACATTGTCATCAATCATCATTTGTACAACAGTGTAAAGTTTCGTTGTTGAATAACTCTAAGAATTCCAGACAGAACTACTTTACTCCTTTCACGATCTAACTACAACGTGCAATCTATTTCTAATTATTTACATTATACGGTTGAGAAAAATCATTCTTCCTTTTTACGGATTTATGTTGCATTCGATCAATTAAAAATTATGCGAGTGAAAATAAAATTCACTTAAATATGTAAGAATTTGATGTATCAAGAAAGTATACAATATTTTTATTTTACATATTATACTTTACTGCCGAATTAAATTTTCAATATGAAATTGGAACAGCCATCGGCACATAATCATTATTCGTTTAGCTCCACGATTAGCGAAGCATATTACGTATAGATAAAACATTTGTGTCTATTTGATTCAAGCACCTCGTATTTCATACGTAGAATGTTTTATTTTATTGATTCAAACGGAAGGCACGCTATCGGAAACGAAGTAAGGAAAATTTTTTCCTATAGAATAATGATATCTTTTATGCATAATATTTCGAGGTTTAAACATTTCTCAAATTTTATTTCGC